ATCATCGATTTCGGTGTTCCATATTGGAAATCGTCAATTTTATTCAGTAATTTTGTCTTGTTTACAACGGAGCCTATTGGTATGTCCTGGTTCGTGAGGCACTCATCAAACATGGTTCCGACTCGGAATGGACCGTCAGTGCCAAATATTTCTACGACTTCAGCGACCACTTTCATTAGGTTGTTGGTTTTCTTCTGTCCTAAATGGTTGTGGTTTAGCATAAACATCACATCAGTTGGTTGGCTGGAATTACACACTAAAAAAAAAATAAATAAATAAAAGAATAAAAAATCGAAAGTTATAAAAAAGTAAATATATACACACAAAGACACACACACACACACACACACACACACACACACACACACAGACCCGCTGGTGATTTACAAAGGAGGCCACATATGGAACAGGTGTGAGAATTGTGAGATGAGATCACTTAGATTGGTTGACCTTTTAGATCTTGCTCTCGCTTCTTGGAGATGATTCAGACGAGCAGATTGAAAATTGCTGAGTCCACTAAAACACGTTGATCTCCATTCTACCCGCTCCAAAGCTAAGCGCTCAAGGGTAGAATATATATATATATATATATATATATAAAAGTGAACATTGAAGTCAACACTTAGAGGCGACAGTTTTTTATGCTAGATGCAATCGTCAGGAGTGCTGTCATTTTTCTCGGCTATTTATATATACGGGTCAGTGGTGCATTGTGGGTAGTCTATTTTGGGGGTTATTTTACCGGAAGTCGTTTATTTGTTTATTTATTTGCGTTAAATTATGTTGCCTGTCATTATTTATTTTCATTAATTATTTTTATTTTTTATGTATTATTATTTCTTATCTTATATATTTATTTTTTATTTTTATTTTAATCAGTGTTTTTTATTAACGTAGTATATATATATATATATATATATATATATATATATATATATTTGGATGGTTTGTTTGAGATTATTTGGAAAATGTGCATTAGAAAAGTTAAAAAAATTCTACAATTTTAGTTTTTAACTAAGTATATATATATATATATATATATATATATATATATATATAACTTGTATTTAAAAACTAAAATTGGTAGAGTATTTTTTAAGCTTTTCAATAAACATTTTCCAAAGAATCCTACCTTGGGTAAGGTGCAAAAGATAAACACTATGAAACTGAGTTACAGTTGCACTAATAATATGTTGAATATATTAAAGAACCATAATGCGTAAATACTAGAGGCAGAAAGAGGTGAAAGGGAAAAGCAGAGCCAATCAACTGCAGGGATAAAAATAATTGCCCATGAAGTGGTGAGTGTCGCACGGAGGGTATTGTTTATTCTGCAGAAGTCAGTGACAGTAACGGTTTTAAGAGTATATACATTGGTTGTACCAAAGACCCTTTTAAGAGAGGTTATATAATCATATTACCTCCTTTAGACTGGAAAGTCACAGAAGAGACACCAAAGTTGCGGATTTATTTTGGACGTTTAGATATATATATAGATATATATGTATATATATATATATGTAGCAGAAATCCGTGTGTTAAGTGGATTATAATAAGAAAGGTAAAGCCAGCCAGGCAACTGCTGCAGACTGTGTCAAGTGGAGAAGTTGCCTATCGCTACATATCCTAACAAAGATGTGCTACTAAATGAGAGAACTGAGATTTTATTAAAGTGCAGGCATTTGATCAAATCTCTTTAGGTTTTTTTTTAAAAACCCGGATGAGCCCAATGAATGATTTTTTCCTATTCCTCTCCCCCTCCCACTATCCCTCTCCCCCACTTTTTCATTTTCCCTCGCCCTTGCACCTTTCATTCTGTTTTCCTGTGGCCATGTAAATTGGTGGAATATATACTAGATTGTTCATTCTTCTACTTGCCTGAGGATACCTTACGGTTGAAGCACGGGTACCAAGGTGAACTGCTTTTTAGTATTTTCTTAAATGTTTTTGCTCTGAATTTTCTATTTTGGATTTTTGTATTGAGCACTTTTTAGTGTTTATACCTTTCAAGCGCGGCTGTTTTCAGCCTCCAATTAAAGTATATTATTTTATATTGTATATTGCACACACACACACACACACACACACACACACACACACACACACACACACACATATATATATATATATATATATATATCGTAATGTTAACAAATCTGTTGGTATATAATCCAAGTGGATCCTAATAATATAAAATATTAAAACTGATCCACAAAAAAGAGCTCAATGTATTTATTAATACAGAGCAATATATTTAATATACAATAAAATCTAAAATTACCTCATATGGGGAATAATCTATTTCGGCAGACGAAGATATTGGTCGTCTGTCTTATCAACCCCGGTGTGGACTAAATTCGTGTCTATACAGATAGCGGGAGCAGGAAGTAGAATTTAACTGTGAAAGCTAAAAAATCAACCTGTCGAAAAACTAATTCAAAATTTATCCATTTTAATGTTTCAGTCAGACGAAAGGCACAAGACAAGGCTCAGGGAAAGGTGGAAGGTATTTATCTTAAAGGGAAGAAGTTTAATAAAATTAAGCCCGAATATTAACCTATGACATTAATTTGGGGTTACGAAAGAATGAAATATAAATGAAAAAATATAGAGGAAAAAAGATGTTTAAAAATAACTTTAAAATATATAGGTAAAAGTATGTAATAGATTAATGGAAAAGAGTTGGGGCGCTCTTAGAGTAGGGGAAATTTTATAAATTATAATTAATATAGGCATAGCGGTTACAGAAAATGGAAAAATACAGAAATTAGAATTAGTTATACATTCGACATTTGAAGAGTTAGAGGGGAGTAATGTAATAAGTTAAACGTATACTATATGAAAATTTGAATTAGTTTTTATGTCAACATTTTAACACTAATTCATTGCTCTGATTCAATAGTTGGCTTTGATTAATGTATTTTATTATTTTAATTTTTTCTTCTAAACATAAGTCACGCCTTTCTCTAAGACTATTATGAGTATGTGCAGAACCTATAATCTTCCAAACTGTCTGTGGGCTCAAACTTTTCTCCTCAATTCCTAATATATATATATATATATATATATATATATATATATATTAATTGTTGTCTTTGTATCCTTTAAATTTTATTAAGAGGTCTATTAGATATGCATATTATAAGAATCACAAGGGGACCATCTTTCTTTTTAATTATATATATATATATATATATATATATATATATATAGATTGTGATGAAAAGATTTAAGAATTAAATAAATTATTATAGAAGTAACCTCGAAAACTTTGTTGTAAATAGACAGGAAATATTTGATCACGTGATCGCAAACTCTTAAAACGTTTAGTAAATAAGCCCAATATGCTTTAGAAATAGTTCCCAGTAATTTTCACTTTTACAGATAAATGGATCATTTTTATATTTTATCTTACTTTCGTAAAAAAGCGAAACATTTAAATAAATAGAGCATCTTTCTCTTAAAACTTTAAATATGAGGTATACTAAAAAAGTACTTTTCTATAAGAGATTTTAAAAAATTCCTCTGTATTTGGAGTAGACGTCAATCTCCCCAGCGGATACAGGAACACGCTTGTCATGAGAATTTACGCTAGAAATAGATTCTCGATATTTACAAAGGCTGCAAATTTATTATTAATAAATTGACACAGATAATGACATTTATTAAATTTTTCTTTTAATTTTTCAGAAAAATGGGTTTCTCAAGTCCAGCGGCTGTTATACCTCTTTCTAGTATTGAATGGGAGTTTCCTTCCTAACCTTTTGCTTGAAGTAGTGTGGAAAGGCAACGTTTTATGCCATTATTTTCTCTCCGAGTTACATGTGGTAGTTATTTTAGGTGTTGCTGTTGATGAAAGTCTTCAAGGGGTTTATATTATTTACTTGGTGATTCTGTAGCGCCAGTTCACGAGATTTCATTAAGAATGGTCCTCGCTAAGACCTACAGTGTTAACCCGCTCGAAGCCATTTTGAAACACTGATTTGAGAAAAGCGCTTGCATACATTTCTGAATATCAAGCATGAAAACAACTTTTAGAACCTCGACCTGACGAGGACATTGATGAATTTGATTTGGGATTTAGATTAATGTTTAAGTTTTGTGGAGTTTAGGTTAATGTTTAGGACTTGTAGTGTTTAGGTTAATGTTTCAGATGTGTAGTGTTTAAGTTAATGCTTACGTTTTGTAGTGTTTAGCGTAATCTTTGGTAGTGTTTAGCTTAATGTTTAGGTTTTGTAACGTTTAGGTTAACGACTAATGTTTAGGTTTTGTAGTGTTTGGGTTAAGGTGTAAGTTTTATAGTGTTCAGGCGAATGTTGAGGTGTTGTGTTTAGGTTAATGTCTAGGCTTTGTAGTGTTTAGGTTATCGTTTAGGCTTTGTAGTGTTTTGTGTAATGTGTTAGATGTGTAGTGTTTACGCTTTGTGCCCCTAGTAGGCGATTCGGAGGAACTTTCTCGCGTATTTGTTCCCGAATGTTTGGATTCATTCAGTAGTAGCTCGATCCTCACTAGGTGCTCCATACATTCGGCCTTGTGCCATATCTAAGCTTCGCATAGAAAATCTATTTGGAGCACTTCGACGTGGTCTAATGGTTAGCAAACTGGTCTCGCCAAATCAATTACGAATGAGTAGTGAGTTTGATGCTTACTAGGTGCTCCATGCATTCGGCCTTGTGCCATATCGCAGTTTCGTATAGAAAATCACTATTGCGGCATTTCGACGTGGTCTAATGGTTAGCAAGTTGGTCTCTCCATATCAATTACGAATGAGTTGGATCCCCAATAGGCGCTTTATACTTTCGGCCTTGTGCCACATCTAAGCTTGGCTTAGATAATCCCTATTGGGACACTTCAATGAGGTAATTGGTACCAAGCTTGTATCGCCATATCAATTACTCCTGAGTAGTGAATTCGACCCTCCCAGGGTGTTCCATGGCCTTGTGCCTTTCTTAGTTACGCTTGGAAAATCCCTCTGTTGAGACTGAAACTGCCCAAACCTTTCTGCGGCATTTATGATTCCGTTCCCCTGTTTGGGCACCAATCTGAGGACAGTGCAGAGGATTCAGAAAGAGTTGGATGAGTCTAATGGTGATTACGAAGGTGTTTGGAGTGATCAGTAATGATGGCGACGTTATGCCTCCATTCATCTTCCCACAGAGCCGCAGACCAAACACGGAGTCCTACATCAAGTGCTTTGAGGAGGCAGCGCTGCCTTGGGTCAAGAGGGTGGCTGCTTGATGACTCTAGCAACAGGACTCTGCACCATGTTACACTAGCCGGAGGAATCAGTTATGGTGTCATAAAATTTCTGTGACCACATCACATCTGCCCCCCCTAACTCCCCAGACTGCAACACCCTTGATTATTCTATGTGGGGCGCAGTTAAACGGGGGACCAAGAAAACTCCTTGTAACAACAAAAATGAACTGAAGGCAATGATTATAGCAGCACTGACTAACTTAAACACAGAGTCCGTCAAGAAGAGTTGCAGGAGATCCCGAAGTCATCTGGAGGCCGTGATTGAAGCGAATGGCAATTTTATTGAATAAATTTACAAGATATTTTTGTGTAATTTTGGTAAATATCTGTTAAATCCATTGCACACTAAAACCCGCCAGCCTATGCACACAGACTCGAACCATCCCTCTAACTTCCATTGGTAAGGAAGAAGTTCCAATCGGAAAACTTCTTTCAAAGAACTGCTATTTTGTAGAACAGACTCCCGGTAGGATGTTTTCCTGATCTCTACACTCTTAACCTCTAAGTCTAAGGTCAACTGTTATCGTTCCTACTGTAGCGATATCATTATCAACCAATACCTTGTTAGAATTAAAATATCTGAGCTGTCACGATGGCTATCAGATTAGTGAAGCAGTTTTCAAAAATGACCGGGACAAAATAGGTCATTGAATGAAGATAAATTGCTTTTTTTTAGACAAAAATGACTAGAAAAAGAGCAATGTCTCTGTAAGACAGTGGTCACTACAGGCGAAAAAGGACAGAGTGGCGCAGAGTGATGAGAGATCGCCTCGCATTGACGTCGGTTATTTCGAGAAAGAATATACACTCGTCAGTCTTCTGATTTTTTCCCAATATTTTCTTTATTCCGATTTTTTACGTTTAATAATGAAGGGAGTGTAAAAATAGGTATATAAGGCCCATGAACTTCGATTCTAAACCCTTCATTCATAAACTGCTATCAGTAACTTTCTATCTTGAGTGGCTCATGGCCTTGCATTTAGGTGAACAATTACTTTTTTTTAAATATTATTTACATTATTCGGACTATTGTCCTCATCTTTGTCGCCATGTTTAATACAACCTTTCGGCCGCTGTACGCTCCGGCCTTCTTCAGGTGGTTGGAATGTCGAACTAAACCCTTTATTTCGCTCACTGAACTGTAGAACTGTTCTAGTCCCACGTGCCATGTTTAATGGATGTCACTTATCAGTTATCTCCTGCTAATTTTCCCTCTGAAAGTTCTCCACTGCCTTAACCGGGTATTGAACTCACACTCTTTGGGTCCTGTCATTGGATCTAAATAAAGCCTTTATCCACTGTGCCATGTGTCCTTAAACATAGCACGTGGAACTAGAACAGTTTATCCCAGTGAGCGAAATAAAAGGTTTAGTTCAACATTCCAGCCACCTGAAGGTCCTCAAGGACACATGACACAGTGGATAAAGGCGTTGGTTAGATCCAGTGACAGGACCCTGAAGAAGGCCAGAGCGTACAACGGCCGAAACGTTGTAATAAATATGGCGACAAAGATGAGGACAATAGTCTGAATAATGTAAATAGTGTACATAATACCTCATCTCAGAAATATAGATATTTTTTAAATCCTTAATATTAACTTATTCTCTTCGACGTCACATAATTTTATAAATATTGATAACTTACCATCCTGATCATTTATAAGCAAATGGTTGATCTCTTCGCAAGTTTTGGTGCCCAACAAGCTTGACTTCGCCAGCAGAGTGTCGAACGAATCAAAAGTGTGCAGAAAGTCGTCAATCGGTTCGCTAGCAAGATATTCCAGTTCTTCGCGATCAACATATGACCCGATACCGACCACAAATATCTTAACTCCAGATTTCTTCAGCAGCTTCGCTTCCAAGACTGTTCGTCGATAGTCGCCAGACTGTCCATCAGTAAAAATGACAATGATCCGATCGGCTTCAGACCGGCTGCTTTGCTTGTCGAAGACGTGCGTTCTCAGCCGATGTAGTGCGTGACCAGTGCGGGTACCACCGCTCAGGTACTTTAGGGTACCGAGACGGCGAAGTATCTCAACTTTGTCGTGGCTGTCACCGAATTTAAGCAGGTTCTGGTAATCGTGGCTAAATGTGGCGATCCCGACCTGGGTCAGTGTAGGGCTGATGTCGAACCGACGAATAATGTTCTTGATGACATTTATTTGTTTTTTGAAATCTTCTTTTCGGATGCTTGATGAAGAGTCCATCAAAAAGAAAATATCAGCGACTTTGTTGTGACAAACTGGATATGAAATAGAAAAGAATATCTATATATTGATAATATATATATATAAGGGAGATGTTATAGTTGTTCCAACGAGAGAAAAGTGTATAATTTCTAAAGAAAAGAGAAGCCGCAAACATTTTTGGTAACAATGTGGATTTTTTAAATATATATAATACTTTATTTTCTATATTTATGCTACATGTGTTTCCAGTCTCGAGACCTTCATCAGGCAATGAGTGGTTATTTCCACATTATTAAAAGGAATTAATTTTCCTTATGTTTTCCGGTGTTTGACCATTGTCTCTTGTGTGTAGTAGTAATCCAAATTTTCCTTAGACTTGTGGAGAAAATCTTCATCTGCTTAAGGGGTAATAAAGCAATTACGATTGGTCAGAGAAAGGTGGAGGAGGGGTCTTTATTCTTATCTTTTATGACCCCTGTATATTTTTATGACCCCTGCATCTTTTTAAACCTATCTTCATTTTTCTGTATTATGTGTGTGTGTGTTTTTACTAGTATGTGTATACATATTCATTCTCCATACATATATCGTTTTATTATAAGGAATTAGTATATATATATATATATATATATATATTTTAAGACAGTTTTATGTTTATACATTCTTTTTATAGATACAAGTATTGAAGTAAATGCTCTGTTTATAATAAACAGTATTAAACAACATTTACCAACCTGAATGTCCGAGAAATTTTCATAGAAAATATTCGTCCTCCGACAAGAATCGAACTTGTATCCTATACGGAACCGTCATATAGCCAGACGTGCCTTAGCCGATTGGGCTACAGAGGATCGCGCGGTTAGCAAGGTCGCTTTTACTGCTTTTAAACTACATCCTCTGTGGCCCAATCGGTTAAGGCACGTCAGGCTATATGGCGGTTCCGTATAGGATACAAGTTCGATTCCTGTCGGATGACGAATATTTTCTCTGACAATTTCTCGGACATTCAGGCCGGTAAATGTTATTAATACTGTTTATTATAAAAAGAGCATTTACTTGTATCTATAAAAAGAATGTATAAACATAAAAACGTCTTAAAATAATTGTCGGACTTTGTCCATTTCAGAATATATATATATATATATATATATATATATATATTTATATATATATATATATATATATGAATGGTAATACTCGTTTTGAAAAACATTGGTTAGCTCTACTTGTAACATAACAAATTGATGTCCGAGGAAAAATTGGATATATAAATTGAAAGAACCAAGAACATAACACTCTACGAATCCTCTTGACAAGTGCTTGAGCTCCAAGTCCCCCCAAAAAAAAAAAAAAAAAAAAACAAAAAAAAAAAACGAGTAAAAGTCTAAAGCAGTGGTTCTCAACCATCTAAATGGACCCTAGGGGGTCCATGTAATATTTCCAGGGTCCACAGGCAAAACACAATTGTTGTGTTAATTAAAATAGTAATAATAATTATTATTATAATTATAGTAGAATATTTTATTTGTATTAAATTAGTTTTCATTTAAAAATAAAGCTTAATCGTATACTATTTCTTTGATAATTAAAACCTTAAAATTTATATTAGTGAAGAATAGAAAATTGTTCTTATGTCCAATAGTTATGAAGGGGTCCACCAAGATAAAAAGAAGGGGAAAGGGGTCCATGGGTAAAAAAAGGTTGAGAACCACTGGTCTAAACGTAAAGTGCTCAATACACTAAATAGAGCAAAAACTAAAATAATAAGCCAGGCAAACACGAATCCTATAAGCATAGTACAACCCTGTCCACTTATATATGGAAGATTAAACAGGAAGACAATAATGTTTCCTTTTTAAAATGGAAAATATTAAAAAAATGTCATAAATATAAGGCAGGCGATAAATTTTGTTCCCTATGCGTGGAGGAAAACCTAGTTATCGCTACCCATAAAGGGACGAAAAATCTATTAAACCAAAATTCGGAAATTCTTAGTAGGTGTCGGCATAAGAAAAGCTGGTTATTAGAGTAACGTGTTGTAGTGTTTTTTTTTGTCACGTGGTCATGGTTTTATTTGGTTTTATAAAAAAATAATGTTCTATTATTTGCCTTTTTAGCCACTCTTACACTGAAGATCCGTTTAGGTGAAACCTAGTTAGGTTTGCCTGGCTCCTTAGGGTTATTTTAGTTATATATATATATATATATATATATATATATATATATATATATATATATATATATATATATATTTAAAACACTATATTGTATAGAGTACGTGTTTGTGCTTGTGGTTAGTCTATTATGTTTGTTTTGCCAGTATGTGTATATAAATACGTTCTCCATAGATACTTTTGTGTGTGTGTGTGCGTGTGTGTGTGTGTGTGGTCCGAATAGTGTATTCGGCCATTATGTGTGTATGCTGTGTGTCGCTAACACTCAGTAACCCCTTGCGTCCTAGTGGCTTTATTGCCTTTGATCTTCAAAAATTTCTCTTCTGTTATTGTCCTCTTGCCTTGATAATATTTTTTTCTTTTTTGCATATTCTCTCAAACTTACTAATCCCTTGTGTTTTAGTGTCGTTTGGTTTTTTTATGGCCTTTTTTGCGGTGAAATGACATTCACAAACACAAATGTCGACTGACAAACTAATTCCCCGTTCACCCCACAGACTAATCTGTTGTGACCAGCGTAGAGGGAAGATGGGGGATTCTTTGCTTTATCGTTGGATGAGAGAAAAAGAATGAGTGATTGCGCCATACGCCATTTTAAAAAAAAATCCTATATTTTCGGTCCTTTTGGAATTGGACTATTTTCAAAATAAAAATATCACATCTGCTATTTTTGTCATTGCTTGACATGAATAATTCTATTGACAAATTGAGATAAATAGGGCAATTCGAATTTTAAGAATTATTTTAGGGGGAGCATGGACAAGAAGAAGAAAGAAGAAGAAGAAGTAGAAAGAGGAGGAGGAAAAGAAGAAGATGATAAAGAAGAAGAAGAAGGAGGAGAAGAAGAAGAAGAAGGAGAAGAAGAAGGTGATGATGATAAAGAAGAAGGAGATGAAGAAGAAGGAGGAGGAGAAGAAAAAGAAGAAGAAGAAGAAGGTGATGATGATGAAGAAGAAGAAGGAAGAGGAGGAGGAGAAGAAGAAGAAGAAGAAGAAGGAGAAGAAGAAGGTGATGATGATGAAGAAGAAGAAGAAAGAGGAGAAGAAGAAGAAGAAGAAGGTGATGATGATGAAGAAGAAGGAGATGAGGAAGGAGGAGGAGAAGGAGGAGGAGGAGAAGGAGGAGGAGGAGAAGAAGACGAAGGAGAAGAAGAAGGTGATGATGATGAAGAAGAAGGAGATGAAGAAGAAGAAGAAGATGATGATGAAGAAGATGATGATGAAGAAGAAGAAGAAGAAGGAGGAGGAGGAGGAGAAGTAGAAGAAGGAGAAGAAGAAGGAGAAGAAGAAGAGGAGGAGAAGAAGAAGAAGAAGAAGGTGATGATGATGAAGAAGAAGGAGATGAAGAAGAAGGAGGAGGAGGAGGAGAAGTAGAAGAAGGAGAAGAAGAAGGAGAAGAAGAAGAGGAGGAGGAGGAGGAGAAGAAGAAGAAGAAGAAGAAGGTGATGATGATGAAGAAGAAGGAGATGAAGAAGAAGGAGGAGGAGGAGGAGGAGAAGTAGAAGAAGGAGAAGAAGAAGAAGAAGAAGAAGAGGAGGAGGAGAAGAACAAGAAGAAGAAGAAGGTGATGATGATGAAGAAGAAGGAGATGAAGAAGAAGAAGATGATGATGAAGAAGATGATGATGAAGAAGAAGAAGAAGAAGAAGGAGGAGGAGGAGGAGGAGAAGAAGGAGAAGAAGAAGGAGAAGAAGAAGGAGAAGAAGAAAAGAAGAAGAAGAAGAAGAAGAAGAAGAAGGTGATGATGATGAAGAAGAAGGAGATGAAGAAGAAGAAGAAGATGATGAAGAAGAAGAAGAAGGAGGAGGAGGAGGAGAAGTAGAAGAAGGAGAAGAAGAAGAAGAAGAAGAGGAGGAGGAGAAGAAGAAGAAGAAGAAGAAGGTGATGATGATGAAGAAGAAGGAGATGAAGATAAGGAGGAGGAGGAGAAGGAGGAGGAGAAGGAGATGATGAAGAGTTATTTTATTTTCGCATCATTTTTTGCAATTCCCAAGTTTCTTCAATGTTTAATATTTTGTAGCAGTCAAGGCGAAGGAAAAATTTTTCTATTTAACCGTCGGCCATGTTGAGACTTTCTTGCAACGAGTTTTTGAAAGCTGATTTTTTATGGGCAGCAAGGACTCGTAATTTAATTGGCGCAATGTATTCCTTCCGAACTTCTTTTTGAAGAAAAGAATGAGGATGAAGACGAAGGAGGAGACTGAGAAAAGAAGAAGGGAGAAAAAGAGAAGGATCAATAGATGACGAAGAAGATTAAGGAGGAGGAAGAAAAGAGACAAGAAGAAGAAGAAGAAGAAGAAGAAGAAGAAGAAGAAGAAGAAGAGAAACAACAACAACAACAAAACGGAAGTGGAGGAGGAGGTGAAGGAGAAGGAGGAGAAGAAGGATAACGAGGAGGCGTAGAAGAAGAAAACGAAGAAGAAAAAGAACGAGAATGAGAGAAAGAAAGAGAAAGAGGAGAAGAAGTGGAATGAGGAGAAGGAGGAGAATAATAAGAAAAAGGAGGTTAAGGAGAAAAAGAAGAAGGGGAGATGGTCGAAGAGTAGGAGGAGGTTGAGGAGAAAAAGATGATGATGATGATGATGATGAGGTGATGGTAGAGTAGGAGGAGGATGACAAGAAGAAGAAGAAAGGGAGATGATGGAAGATTAGGAGGAGGAGAAAAAGAAGTAGAAGAAGGGGAGGTGGTGGAGAAGTAGGAGGAGGTTGAGAAGAAGAAGAAGAGGAAGAAGGGGAGGTGGTGGAGGATTAGGAGGAGGATGACAAGAAGGAGGAGAAAAAAGATGAGAGGAAGAAGAATGGCGGTCTTTCTTGCCAAGGGGTCGTAATGAGTTTTTGAAGAATGTCTTTCCATGTAGGAAGCGACTCGTAAGTTTTTAAA